TCTGGACCAATCGGTTGCGAGGGTTTGGAGTATGCTAATACAGCACATCTATCATAATTATATTTGTTTTCCTTGGTCTTGCTTTGAACAAGAGATCTGCATACTGCCTTTCTAATTAAAGATGCATACTCCGTAACTTTTTGGAATAATCCTGAACAAATACTGTAGCTGACTATTTATTTTAAAGGTTTAAAGCATTAAGGTTGATTCTGATGTATATATTAAGAATACCTTGACGTCTTCTTTTGGTCTTGAGGAAAATGTCTCTCATGACTCTTGTTATGGTGATTTCTAATTTGAGTGAACTACTGTTTCGAATGAAGGCAAATATACATGTCCCGGGATAAGGTTCCAATCTGAGTCGGTCACTGGGACCAGAGGTTTAGTCTTCCGAGCTTTTGGATTCATGCTGGAGCCCATTCTCAGGGAACTTTAGAAGTAGAAGTTCCCTGAAGAAGGGTTCCAGCATGTATCCAAAAAGTCGGATGATTAAACCTCTGGTCCCAGTGATGACCCAGACTGAATCCCAAAATACTGTTTTTAAGCCTCTTTTCTGAGGTTCTGCCATGGTTTTATGTATTGGATAACTTGGATCATCTACATAGTTACAAAATCAAATGCAGCAAGGGATCGTACATCAGTAAAATGTATTATCCATTGTCATAAAAAAATTCCAACAGGAAACAAAGACAACAATACATGCAATAATTCTTACTTTAAGATCAGAGGTGTATTGTTTGTAATAATTTGGAACATAAGAAATGAATAGATATAAAAGATATAATAGCAGTAATACACTAACCACATACACGTTTCACAACTTCACTAACTGTCACTTTCCTTAAACACCTGTATACATTTCAGTTCCTCATTTCCAACAGTTTCACTCTTCCTGTTTTAAATGTATCCATACAAGTGCATATTTTGCAAAAACATGTTTCACAGTCAGCAATGGCTCAGCAGGACTACAAATAGTTATGGTACATTTTGAAGCCATCCTAGATAAAAACTGTGGTTCATCTCTCTTCTGGGGCCTGCTATCATCCATAGGACTTATTGAATCTAATAGATCAATAAGCTATATTTTTGATTCCCACACCATTTATCATTTGTCTATGCAAGGCGTTCCAATGCTTTCTAGATATAGAATATAGTATACACTGAGTTGGCAACTTAAACCCTTTAGCAATTTTTAAGTTTTTCTATCTCTCTTTTCTACCGGTCTCTCTTTCCCCATACCTATTTTCTGCCCCACCTCTTTCCCACTGTTTATATTATTTAGAACACAATTTTGTTGTTTATCCAAAAATAGCCTGCCAGAAACACACTGTTCTTTCCAATCTGATCTCTTCATGTGCTAAGGTTGCCCATCACCAGATTCTCAGACAGTGTAATCAATGGCCCTGCTGCCCAGGGATTCTGGAGCTGCAGTGTTAACCACGCATTTGGAGGAAGACGGTGGCACAGTGGTTAGAGTGTGGTACTGCAGGCTACTTCTGCCGACTGCCGACTGCCTGCAATTTGGCATTTCAAATCTCACCAGGCTCACTCAGCCTTCCATCCTTCCCAGGTTGATAAAATGAGGACCCAGATTATTGCTGACTCTGTAAACTGCTTAGAGAGAGCTGTAAAGCACTGTGAAGTGGTATATAAGTCCAAGTGCTATTGCTATATACCACTTTGAAATATTTCTTCTTTTAAGCTTTGTTAGTTTCTCCCTTGCTATTATCAGCTTTAACAATACAAATCAGAATTATTTCTAAAGGCATGAGTGCTTTGGAAAAAAAAGGCAAATTCTATTGCACCCTTCTGTTTCAATATTCATTTTACTGTGTCGTGCCGTTCTCAATTGCAGTAGTTATTTTGGGCTTCCTAGTGGATTCCTTCCCTGTATGATTCTCCTGTAATCATGCAAATTTCATTCATTTGCAGAATAGCAGGTTCTTAATGCTGAACATCTTTTTAATACTTGTTTAAGGTTATGGATGTTTTGGAGTTCTATTAGTGTATTTCTTTTAAATCCATATTTTTCGGGTACTTACCTGAACCATTTTTAAGTTGCACCAGGTGTTCAAGTGAACAGTCAATGCAGTTTAAAAAAAAAAAAAACCTTAGTTGAGAGAGAATCATTGCTATAAACCTTCTCTAAAGAGTTTACTTTCATTTAATTAAGAGGAAATCTAAAATTTATATAAAGGAATCGTTTTAAATACTGCAGTTGCTATTTTAAAATGGGTATGGAATGTTCTGAATTTACAGGAAGACAAGCTGAAAATCCAAATTGGAAAAGGGACTGTTACCATGCAAGGAAAGTATTTTTTTTAAAAGATTTACAAATGCCTGAGGTCAGAGATTTGGCTGATTATTTCAAGGCAGTGTCTAATCTCCAGCCTGCACCCAACTCTTAATCATGTACATATACCTTGACTGCTTCTTCTTTCTCCCAACCTCTTCTACTCTTCTTTCTTGCCTTCTGCTTCATCTCTCACATTCGTGGAATATTTTCCCCCCACCTTGCTCTCTTACATTTTCCTGTTTTGCTCTACTTCCTTTTTCCTGTGGGATTTTTTTTGTTGTTGTCTTCTTCTCTGCATAACCCTAACCAGAATCCCATCTGACTTCTGTTCTCTCCAAGAGAGATTGCAGGTGTAGTCCAAGAATTTTTTCCCCTGTTAGAAGTGGAGTCATATACCTCTCAATTGAGAAAAAGATACCAAGCAAATTAATTTATTTAGAGGTACTCCTTGCCCTGTCACTTCACAGTACTGGTACTCAGGCTAGCTCCCAACAATAAGGCACAATTAAAATAACCTTAGAAAGTTTCTAAAACTAAACAATAGGAATAGGAATAGCATATCCAAAGTCCCTGGGAAGAACTTGTTAGGGCTAGGCAGACAAAAATGCCAAATCCAGTCTGAACATCTTTCAGGTGTGTGATGAACTATAACAAATATAGCGGGGCCACAAAAATTCTAGGGATTGCCAGAGTAAACAGGTATGTCTTTAGCAGCTGTTTTAAAATCTGAAGTTGTAAAGAAAAAATGAAGCTACAGTGTTGCCGTTTCTTTTAAATATATCAATTGCTTTATTCCTGCTTTTTAGCAATTTTGGATCGATATTAAATGGCTGGTATACAGTATATACAAGTATTAAACAAATAACCTATCTTAACTAGGTAATATAACAGCTGAGACAATGATGACAATTCTTCGAGATAAAGAGAGTGGTCTTAACATGGAAGGTGCCTTCATGACCACAGGAAGCATGGTTTCTATACTTCCCCAAGATCCTAGTCTCCCTTGCATTCATTTCTTCACTGGAACGCCAGATCCTGACAGGTAACGCAAATAAAATGGGTCATGAGAACAAAATCTTAACCATTTCCTTATTTTTTGTCATTTTAAATAAAAGGCTTGAAACCTTTTCGGAAGTATTAAATATGACCCAGTGTAAGAAAAGATCAATAGCAGCTTTAGTAAAATACAAGACTAAAGAATCTGATAAAATTTCTGATTCATCTGAAGCCAATTCTGCAACAGGAAAGGTATTTAATACTTCAGTGTCTATGGAAATTCTCAGTCATCCAGATCATGGTTGTCCCAAAGGTGCTTTTTCAAGAGGCAGCTGGACTTTCTGGTTTTTTTCTTTGAAGTTGTTCTGCTTCTCATCCAAGAAGCTTCTTCTACTATTGAGCTGAAGAAGCTTCTTGGATGAGAAGCGAAACATCTTCAGATAATAACAAGAAGATCCAGTTGCCTCTTGAAAAAGCATCTTTGGGATAATGCTTCAGTGGTTTTTGGGCGGAAGCATTAATTGTTGTTCTTTTAAAGTACACTAGGAATCTGATCTGCTGGGAAGCCATCTTCTTGGTTCCAGAAACTTTTCTACCTAACCAACTAGATTGTGACTGATATGAGAACTGATATGAAAAGTTAGGTTCTCCTGGAATTTATGCTGAGTGAACATAACACTGGGATGTGAAAGTAGCAACTAATTTTGCATATTTGCTTATTTTCATTTTATCTTGTAGGTCTGTTTTTAAACCTTTCATTTTTGTGGAAAATATTACCCAGCTTCTAAAAACCAGTTCTCCGGTGTTTGGCCCAGAGGATCCAGTTAAAAAGCAGCCACGATTTCATACGAAGCCTGACAGAAGACATGAGCTCTATCGAACGCATGAACGGGCAGTTGCCATGATGGAAGCATCAAAGGTGGGTTGGTCTTGGAATTGCAAAATGCGATTTAATTTTGAAATTCAAAGTAAAAACGTCTAGAACCTGTGGTGTTTGTATAAGCTGACGTGCCTTGAAAAAATTGTTCTCGCATATCAATTTTCAGTCATAGGTTTAACATGAATTTATGAAATTCAGAGCAGGTTTTATGCATTCTCAGTAAATTCCCCCCCAAACTCTTCATAACTATACTTTTAACAGCCATGTATTAAATACGATGTGGGGGCTCGAACCATTTATTTTCAGAATTCCTATTGAACTCTTGGTAAGAAATCAGGAGGAGTCTGGTTAGCATCTTTTCTGACTAATATTTCGTTATTCAAAGGCATCAGATTTCATTAGCTGCAGCTCACTTTATCACATGCCTTTTGTCCTCACAATTTTCTTCCTTTCACATTCAAACTCTCCTTCCTTTTGTAACTTCTGGGTTGTGGTTTTAACTATTTCCTCTTTGGCTTATTTTTTTTTTCATTTTTTAACGTTATACAGTTAAATTGTGGTTCTGGATTAAATAGATTTTTGTTCCCTGAAACTCATTTCAAAGAAACAGTTATGTCCTCTTCCTTTCTAATTCTCCTGTGAAGAAATCTTGCTAGACAGAACTAAAAAGGAAACAGTTTCCCTTTTGGCTCAATATAAGGAATAGAGAGGAAAAACACAGGAATAATTAATCCTCCTTTAATATTGGCTCTTCACATACCTGTTTTCTGTGAGAAGGAATTCCTTTCTAAAGATTTGCTTTTTTCCTCCATATTTCAGAATATTTTCTTTCTATTGTTATTTGTTTGTCAAGCATGTATGAGAAAACAAGTATAAGTATGAACATAACATATAAACATATAAGTATAAACAGGTATAAGTATATACATAATGAGTATAAATAAATGGATAAATGGGAACAGTAGGACAGGGACGGTAGGCACGCTGGTGTGCTTATGCAAGCCCCCTTACAGACATCTTAGGAATGGAGTTAGGTCCACAGTAGACAGTTTAAAGTTTTGGGCGGGTTGATGTAACAACAGAGTCAGATAGTGAGTTCCAGGAATCTCTTTAAATATTTCTCCCTGCAGACCTTGTCTAGATGCTTCCAGCCACTCCTCTAAACTTAGATGGGATGTTTCAAGCCCTTCCTCTTGGAGATGATTTAAGGCTATAGCAATAGCAATTGCTCTAAGCAGTTTACAGAGACAGCCTATTGCCCCCAACAATATGGGTCCTCATTTTACCGACCTCAGAAGGATAAAAGGCTAGTCAACCTTGAGCCGGTGAAAATCGAACTGCTGGCAGTCGGCAGTCACCAGAAGTAGCCTGAAATACTGCATTCTAACCACTGTGCCACCGTGGCTCTATATCCACCCACTTATTCACATATTGCTTGGATTCTTACAGGACATCTGTTCTGAACATTTTGTGTGGATTTCTGGAGCCATTCCTCCAGATTGTATCTGGCTTCATTCAAGGATTCTTGTCTGAGTCTTTTCAGAGCCCTTTGTAGCCATGTTTGCGCCCCTGTTCTGGATGCAGTAGGACCAAGTTCTCTGGAACTTGCTAAAGATGCTTAAAGTCATCTATCCTTAAGCTTCTTTCAAAGCCACCAGGTTCTATCCAAATCACTCTCTCCCTACTCTTTAGCATGCTTATTTCTGATGCTTTGGAATATTGTTCTTTGAAATCCTGGATGTCCTTAATAGATGTTTCAAGCCATTTTTGAGTACCTAGATGGGGTGCTTCAGATCTCTTCCTTTTCAAGGTACTACCACAGTCATTTAGAAAGCACCAAAGCACTTCCACATTGAAAGCATTAGCTGGTGACATCATCATTGCTCAGAGGATGACCAGTTGGGGGCTCCTTTCATATCCCCATTAAGCTGCCCACCGAATTGGTACCAATCTGGATGCCCTCAGTTGAACTGCTGGTCAGCAGGAGAATGAGGGGAGTTCACCCTGTCCCACAGCAGCAACCGGTCTTCAAAATGAGCCTGCCAATCGGCATCTTAGCATCCTAACCACATGAGCCACTGCGCTCCTTCTCTTCAAGATTGTTTACCTTGAAGCGATTATTATATATTTTCCACAGGTCCTTGAGAACAGTTGATTCTTGAGTTGCTCTGTTTATTTTTCAAGATAACCATTACTTAAGAGCATATCAAAACTCTAGAATTCTGTAGATCCTGAATGCCTTTCATACATGCTTTAAGCCATTCCTGAGTACCTAGATCAGCTGTTTAGGTCTTTCCTCTTTGAGTTTTTTTCTAAAAATTTTCAAGCCGTTTTTGAAGGCTTATTTTGAAGTCTTGGTTTAGGTTCAGGACCTTCCTTGTCCAGGTTTTTCAATGAATCTTAAAGCCATTTTTCCAGAACTGGTTTAGGTTCAGTATAAGATAAGAGGCTTTCTAAGATCCTTGAAGTAAATGTAATGCCGCAGGCAATGAAGGTGGTGGAAAAGGCAATTGCTGAGCTAAACTTTGCATCTGCTGGAGCATCTGATGCATATTAGCTGCTAAATTCCACACCTCGATTTCCAAACTTGTCTTGGTGGCTGCAGAATGGTGTCCATCCAATTCAGTCTGCTGTCAGTGCAGTTATGGATCCGTTGCCATGCTGTGGCTTTGTTCTATTCTGTGAAATTTTGGGGGAATAGTTCAGGTTAATGTCAGGTGCAAGAAATCAGAAACCAGGTAGTGTTCAAAAGTACGAGTTTATTTCACGCTACCTATACACAAGAATCTGATCTATTAACAGTCAAGGCAAATTGGCAAAATGGAATTAAAATGGAATTAAGGTAAAATGGAATTGAGCAGAGATAGATGTTCTTGGGGTGCCTAAAGGAGCTGGGATTATTCCGTCCTTTCATTTTTAAGTAGAATTTGCACAAGAGATGAACCGCTAAAATCATGTAAATTCTCCATTAGGAACTTGGCCAATTAAATATGTTAAATCAATATTTATAATGACTTAAGCTAGGTCGTTAAATTTATTGATTCTTCTGTATCACAGCAGACACAAACAATACAAAATAATTTCTAGAGGGAAAGATTTGGATGCAGTGTTATGAGAAATGTTCTCACTTTGTTCCCAAATGCCAAACCGTAAAGATAGTCCAACAAGTTGAGGCAGTATTTTGTGACGTTGTATGACATCTCAATTGTATTAATAAAATTTGCAATAATGATGAGAGGCTTCATATAAAAAATAATTCCCAGTACCCCCCACCAAGTTTTATCAGAAGAGACTTCTTAGTATTCTACATTCATCCTACAATTTATCTGCCTTTAAGATAGCAATTGGCAACCAGTGTTTTATGGACATCTGCCAAGGTATCTTCCACCTGATTGGGATACCAAAAATCAATACTGAAAGCAAAAATATAATATAAACCTGATGAGCTACAAAGCAGAATGCCAGTCTCTTGTCATCTTTATTTCCATGAATGCTTCTATGGCCTAGAGAAGCAGACGATGTGTGATGACGTCACAGCGCTTTATCTAGAAATGAGATTCTTGCTGTCCTGCCTCCTTCCTGCCAAGAAGGCAAAGGACCAATAGGAGAAAAAACATTCTGAGCATCACATCACAATTGGATCTCTACTGTTGTCTTTAAGAACTGAAGAAGCTTCTTGGATGAGAAGCGAAACATCTTCAAGGAAAAACAAAAGAAAGTCCAGTTGCCTTTTGAAAAAGTACCTGTGAGATCTCCGCTGTTGTTAAACTTAATTTTAAATATCTAGGAGACATTTGACCCGTTGACTCATCCTTTCAGAACTGTTTCCTTACCAGGATCCTCTGCATCTTCAACAAGGACGAAGCTCCCGATGTGATGCCTTGAAAAGCTGGGCCTACACTCAGATAAGCCCGTTAGGTGATACTACAGTATATAGCACAGTAAAATGAGACAGGAAATGATTAATGACATTTTGTATTATGTCATAATCTATCACCTACCTGTGGATAGATGCTAGGTATGCACCTCCATATACCCCAGAACAGCTGTGTAGCTTTGAATACAAAGGATTGTAAGCTACAAAAAAAATAGACCCTGAGAAACTCAGATGTCTCAGACAAAGTCTGTTGAATAAAGAAGGAAAAAAAGAAGTGGTGAAAGATTCAGGGAAGGCCTCAAATCTTCCAATGAGAACAGAGCATACAGAATGTTCTTAACCTGCTAAATAACACAGAGAGGAAGAGAGAGCAGGAGAGGAAGGCGGCGAAAAAAAGTCAAGCAAGCAGCTATTTATCTCAGATTGGTTGGAGTTTGAGCAGGAGCTTGTTAAGGGATTCGTAATTTATTTGAAGATTCAGCATTTGTTGCAAACCTCTCCCTATATGAAATCTTTTTCTTTTCCATTATGTTGCTGGTTTAAAACGTTTAATTTATATCTCACTTTTCTTTCAGGAGCTCTTAACAATGTACACAGTGCTTTTTCCCCTTTCACTATAATTTTCTATTGTTAACTTGCTCAGAGTTACTTAAATGAGATGGGTGGTGTAGAAATGTGGTGAATACATCAATAAAGCAAACAATTCAGTGAAGTTTTTCTGGCTGCAAGTGACAAAGGTCAGCATGTGAGTTTTTATGGCTGAAGATGAACTGTAATTTGGGATGCTACATAGTCTAACATTCTAACCACTAGATCACACCGGCTCTCATTTAAGATTAATTGTAGCAAGCATTTGCTATGCACAAGGTTTATATTTGATTCTATTTTCAAATATGTTTTTTAGGAAAAGGCTGCACTGATCATGGAACAGATCCAAAAACTGGAGAAAGCAAAGATTGATGACATGGACCGTATTCTCCAGAATGGGTACCTGAATGTTGATCAAGCAGTTAATCTTTTTTCAGATTGTGTTGAAGAAGAAATACATATATATGTATGACAAAATATCTGCAGTTTTTTCCTTTTATTAATCCAAGTGTTGTTTTCCAAAACAGATTTATTCACTGTCCAATGCTGCTTCTGGCCAAATAGCATTTATTATGTGTACACTAGCTGGAAGATAAAATACTGGAATTAGTTTTAATAGAATATAATTGCTAATTTTAAATGTGACATGCAGCTATCCAAAGTTTAAAACACCTACAAAATTACTGGTTTTTTGTTTACTTTGCATATATTTTCAGCCTGCATTTGTTTGATATTTCATACACTTAATGGCCAAGTGTTGTACACATTTAATAAGCAGAGTTAATAACATTAATTTATATGTTGTCCAACTCCCACCAACTTCAACATCTAGTTGAACAAAAAGCAAAATGAAGCAAATAAGTGAAATAATTAATTCTGGAATTAGTATGTATTAGCCAAATCAACCCTAAGACATTATAAAGACTAAAGTGGCTATCGAGAAAACAAGGACTGTAAATTACAGCACATTTCCCATTTTCTTGTAAATGGCTCCTCAAATGCAAATTTAAATATTTAAGAAAACAACTTTAAGAATTCAAGAAAATATTTCTTTCTATTGCAGAAGTTTGAAAGCATTGTGGATATGGTTAACACTAATGCCTTTAATCTAAAAATAACGATATACAGTGATGTATGTATATGATTTGAAACGGTATACAGACTTAGACTTTGATAAAGGATTAAAAGAATAAAAATTCTGTCCTTAAAAGCTTGTATTAAAAACTTGATGCATCAGGATAATACGAATAGGATGTTAATGTTATTTTTAATTATCATTATGCACTGGATTTCACAATCCAATAGAAATTAGATGCCTTGGCCCCTATTAGCAGAATAGGCTTCACTGAATAGCATCGTACCACTGCTTCTTTATATTATTTTTATTGCAACATCATCTAAAGTTGGTAGTAATCAAATATAATTCAAAGCACTTCTGCAAAATGTGCAGAAAACAGCAGAAAACAAGAAACGTTTACCTCATAGGAAAGAGTTCAGATTACCAAATAAACATTCAATAATGAATTTTATAAAAAGCCTTCATTGTAATAGGACTTTGTTGGGTTTAGATTTCATTCCTTCTTTGGTTTCTCATCAGTAAGTAGAAGGAAAGAAAAACTCCAGTAGTTAATCCAGGGGTGTCAAACTCGTGGCTCATGGGCCGGATGTGTCACGCTCTGGCCATGCCTATCCCTGATTTAGCGAATGGGAAAAAGTTGTGATACGTCACGTGATGCCATGAGTTTGACACCCCTGAGTTAATTCAATGTTCACAAATAGGACATCTTGCTGCTGAATGCCAAAATTGGTTTTAAAAAACTATCAAAATTAATATTTTTCAGGCAATAAAAGAGGACTGTTGGGAGCCAGTTATAGAAAGGTATGAAGTAGGATGTAGTCAAGTCATAGCAACATTTAAGTCCTTCTGATTTATCTAATGAATTAAATATAGCGTTTAATTTTTAAAAAGAGTATTTCCTGAGTTGAAAGCCTAAATTTGGGCAGAAACTCATTCAGGTGTCAATCTTATGTCTATGGTAATTAGGTACTATAGAACTTTATTATGTGAATAAAATTGCACTATCAATGTCCAGAAGACTTAATAATTTAGCTGTAATTCTTGTTAATATAAATGAAAACCAGATATAAATTAGTTGCATGTCTCAATCTGGCATACATAAAAATGTGATGAATTCAAGAAAGGAATTAACAAAAATTACACTGATGTAAAAAAATTATTATGTAGTATGAGATATTTTTAGGAAAAATAACATAATTGCTATCACAACAGCAAAAATATCAAGAATGAAATGCCATCTTGCTATATTGGGGGATACAATCTAGAGCTAAATGTCATAAAAGTTATAATTGAATACTCTACCATGGCACTTTGGACTTAAAGCTTGAATGCACCTATTATATTGCATCATAATTTAAACTACCGTGTTTCTCCAACAATACGGCCTCCCCCAATAGGAAGTCCCAGCATCCTTTATAGGCATAAAATCAAATTAAGCCCCTCCCCCCAAATTAAGGCCTATATTAAACATTCAAAATGGGGGGGAATGGCGGGGGGGGGCTGGCCATTAGGAAGTACTTTTCTTGCATACCCGGATATGGTGCTGCCTGCGTTGACTTCGGCGTTGGTGGGGCACTTCGTATCGGGAGACCTTCCGCCGTTGCTTTCCCTTCTGCCCGTGCTGCCGCGGCGTGTAAAGCAACACCGCGGCATTTGGCGCAGCCACGTGCGGCCAGCCAGGGCTCCTCCCTGCAACCGGAGCCCGACGGAGACACTCGGCTTCAGGTGCTCCTGTCGCTGCCTCCGCTTTGCCTTCGAAGGCAAAGCCAATTCTTTAAAAACGACACCCTACTACCGGTATGACAAAGACTCCCCTGCCCGAGAGGGCAGCTCAAGCCCACGTGGGGAGGCAAATCTCCCGGGGCCGCAGTGCAGGATCGGCTCACCCCGGGAGAAGCGCCCAGCCGCCATCCCTGCCTGGCGCCAGTCAGAGTGCGAAGAGCTTCGCCTAGGGTACCCAGCGCAGCTGACAGGTGGGCCAAGGCAGCGCCTCCCCGCCGGACCCTCGGCTCATCCCGCCAGAGCCACGCGGGCTGGGCAGAGCTGGGAAAGTGAGCCGCGGGTGCGTACCCACCTGCCAAGCAAAAGAGCCGGGCCGACCTGAGCTTGGTTTCCTTCCCAAGTCCCTCAAATCCCGAACCCGAAGGAGCCACGGGGGAGGCTGCCCGAGGCAATGATAGCGACCACCCGTCCACGGACAGGGAGGCGAGGCGACGGCAGCGCTGCTTCCCTGGCCGGCGGGTCTGATGGAGAGAGCCCGAAGCCGCCCATCCTTTCCACCCCTCGCCCAGCCCATCCCCACGCATTTCCAAACGTGCCAGCAGCTCCAAATGCTGCAGCGGCATGGGCATCGGGCAGAGGTGCTCACTCAGCGGGGCTCAGCTCGGAGGATGCGGCGCAGGCCGTCGCCTTGCCTCCCTGTCCATGGATGGGTGGGCGCTATTACTGCCTCGGGCGGCCTCTCCCAGTGGCCCCTTCAGGTTTGGGTTGGAGGGACTTGGGAAAGAAGCCAAGCTCGGGTCGGCACCCGCGGCTCGCTTTCCCGGCTCTGCCCAGCCTGCATGGCTCTGGCGGAATGAGTGGAGGGTCCGGCGGGGAGGCACTCGCTGCCTTGGCGAGAGCTCCGCCGCTGGGCAGGAGGGCCCGCCTGTCAGCTGCGCTGGGCGCCCCAGGTGCTCTTTGCGTTCTGCCCGGTGCCAGGAAGGGATGGCAGCTGAGTGCTTCTCCCGGGGTGGGCCGATCCTGCTCTGCGGCCCCGGGAGATTCTCCTCCCCACGTGGGGTTGGGCTGCCCTCTCGGGCAGAGGAGGCTTTGTCGTACCGGTAGTAGGGCGTCGTTTTTAAAAGAATTGGCTTTGCCTTCGAAGTCGAAGGGAAGGCGGAGACAGGAGCGTCTGAAGCCGCGTGTCTTCGCCAGGCTCCGGTTGCAGGGAGGAGCCCTGGCTGGCTGCGCATGGCTGCGCCAAACGCCACGGCGTTGCTCTAAACGCCGCGGCAGCACGGTGAGAAGGGAAAGCAATGGTGGCGGAAGGTTTCCCGATACGAAGTGCCCCACCAACGCCGAGGTCAACATCCAAGCCATCGCCGCCCGCCCGCCCGAGGATGCAAGGGGGAGCATTAAGTCGCCCCCAAAAAGACGGCCTAGCCATTTTTTGGGGGGGTCAAAAAAAAATAAGGCCCGGCCTTATTTTGTGAGAAACACGGTATGGTTAATTTGGAGCTTAGTATTTGTATGAACAAGCTGTAATGTAATAAATGATGTTTAAATAATCTGTGTATAGATTGATTTTTGAACACAGTCTATCTAGCCTAACTTTAAGGATGCTTTAAGAATTGAACCACAAGAAGTAGCTAGTGCAACTTTTTGCTTCAACTTTTAACAAGGAATATTATACAAGTCAGGACAGCTGTATTTATTGAGTAACTGGAACAGCAAGAAAATCAATCTGATACTTTCAAGAACGTGTTTCTCCACAACTCTTTCCAATTTTAAAAAAAAGAATAATTGGGTTTTGTAATACAGCATGCTTTTCATTTCAGAGTAGATCAACTTACAAGGAAGACTTTATATACCCCCCCCCCCCCTGTTTTGGAAGATAGCCTTTTTTATACAATATAGAAGAAATCTTGGCAGTATTTCAATTCATGTGATATAATTGATAGTAAAAAAACAACTAACCCCCCCCCCCCACTTCTTTATGTCATAAGATTGTGAATATGAAAAGATTTGTTATTTTGGGGGTGTTATAGTGTTAATTCTTTAAAAACTAATAGCCATAATTTTAATAACCCCAGCTTTCAAATATAATCCACATTTGTATAAAGATAAAATATATCCATACATAAATGCATCTGGTAAAAAAAATAGTGGTTAGATAAAGATAATCGACAAGTCTTCTTAATAGTTGAAGAAACATGACAAATTGCTTCTTCTAACAATATTGTTGATGAACCACTTTCAGAAAAAATATTTAAGCATTCTTCTTAACTTTAAAAAGGCCAATAAGATGTTCATGCCTTCCTATTATTCTACAATGCGGCTTAAGAATTAAAAAAATTACCAGAGTTTTTGATAAACATACGCATTTAAAAATATATTACTTTTGTGGTGAAACCTTACTAGTTTTACACACACACAAATTCCTATGAATACCTAAAAATTTGTATTGCAAAATTAAAATTTAACAAGAAGTCAATTCAAGTTCTTTAATTTGCATATCAAGAGTAGTACTCAAGTACAATTTGACATTTTAAAATATAGTAATTTGGTATTATTAAGTACAAAATATATATGGCATCTACAGACTCCAACTGATTGCAGTCTGTAAAATAAATTGGTCCATTTTTGGTAGTCTTGTGCCAATTATTTAACAATGAACCAAGGGAAAAAATGAAACAAATTATGCTTGAACAAGAAGTCCTGCTCACAATTATGATGCTTTAAATCACATTCAGATTTAAACAGACTGATAAACAGACCTGTATGCTTTAAAAATTAAAACTGGCTTATTCATATAAGGATTAGGATGAACAGCAAAATTCATTTGCTGATTTCTCCTTTAACACAGCAATCTTCAGTTATTTTGTCAGTACAAATAAGAGAACTGTTAAAACAAGAACTGCATACATCAAAATGATCTACTGTTCCCTTTTTTAAAAAAAAAAACTTACATCACATGATAACAATGAGTTATTTTGTCTACAGTACTGTCTGTACAGGCAAGGAAAGAAAATTTTATATATTTTTTAAAAAGTACTGTTTCAAAAAATAAAGCCTGTTACACGCCTTTCCCAATTTGAAATAATTCCCTGAAGCAACTCATCTTAGTCAACCTTCAGATTGCAAGACATACTCCTCTTTGGGTTTGAGATCAACACGGCCACACTATAAGCAAAAGGATCTCAAAAAGCGTGCATTAGATGCAAGTAGGAGGGTCTGGTCTTGGCTAGCTCCCACGGGCATCTTCATTCCCTTGGCTGTCCTGTATTGCAGTTGTCGTAGCGGTAAAATGGTAATGCAAACGCTCATCCCGAAATTCAAAGTCATCGGTAATATGTTGGATGATGCCACCTTTCATCAGCCTCTCTCCATACACTACAGCTTCCCCGTGGTCCAAGGCAAGGCCAACTTTCAAAAGCCAGTTTACCAGATCACAGCCGAAGAAGACTCCAGTCACTGTCTTTGTGCCACACCTGTATGTCAAAGGAAGGATTCACCCACATGTTCTGTAAATCTCGTACCACCACTGCTTGTTGGATGAAGATGAGGGGAAAACAAGGAAAGACAGCATGATAGTTAGAAGGACGTTAAAAGAAGGCCTAATAGCCAAGTATACAATTAAAGCTGTTTTCCTTTTAGGCAGGCCTCAATCGCCTTTTTTATTAGCCAAAATGCATGCAAGCATCTAAAGAAAGCACAGCATACTATATGGTTAGTGTAAAATTATTAACTGTTAATTCACTATTGATAATCTTAGAATCTGAAATTAATCTTTAGTTCACAGAATCTACCATTGGAACGATATATATGTAGTTCTTGACCTACAACCATTTGTTTAGCAACTGCTCAAAGTTAACAATAGCAAAAAAGTGACATGCAACCGGTTCAAAATTCAGGTGCTGGGCATGTATTTATAGTGGTTGCCATGTCCTGGGGTCACATGATTGCCATTTGTGGCTTTCCTGGCCAGCTTCTGATAAGCAATTTCAACCAGGGAAGCCAGATTTGCTTAATGGCTGAGTGACTCATTTAATTATAGTGATTTTGCCATGGCAAAAAAGGATTCTAAAATTGGGCATGACTCCCTTAACAACCACTTTGCTTCACAATGGAAATTCTGTTCCCAACTGTGGTCATAAATCAAGGACTGACTGTACAGTAGTAAAAGAGTTAATGGTAACATTTTAGATGATAACCATATCAAATTCTATTTCAGAAGGAAAAGTCCTAAGTGAACATGCAAAAGGCTGATACTCTGTTCAAGATCTGTAACATGCTTCAAAAATTATTTTGAAAACATATTCTGGGAAGGCATGAGAGCTCAGGAGCCTTTCATTTTTTTTTTTTTTCAAATTTCAAGCATTTCTTCAGAGCAGTTTTTGGCTGAATAATTTCTCAAGCACATAATAGCTTTAGTAAATGCTGTTTTGCATAGCATTTGATTAAATGCTTTTTTTTTGTTTTATATGCTCAAAAGTTTTTCTTTTATGGATAGTATAGATTTCCATTTGCAATCTGAAAAGGAACACATTCACGGAGAATTAAATAAGTTTTTCTGCTCTGTAGGTTAAATTTGGTTCTCTTAATCCTAAAATGCTTATTAAGCAAACTAATACACAGAGGTCTTGAGGCACAATATAATTGGTTAAGATTCATTTTAAACTCCAAGAAGTGTTTTTCCCCCCCTCAATTCATACCTGAAAACTGTATGCAACCTGGTGCAACCACCTCTAAAGCTAATGCTTAGTATCTCAGGCAGCATTTTGCTCTACTATGCATGATTGGGATAAGGGTTGAAGTCAACAATGAAAGTAAGGCATGCCTTATGTGAAGTCTTTCTATGACTTGACATGTCTGTATTAACTATGCACCAACAGTCACAGGCCCAACTTTCCATATGTAGAATTAATTTTTTAAAGTATAAAAACACTCTTCCTTCCAAGAGAAGTGTCATCTGTGAATCCGCATACATACTTAATGTCAGGAAGCCCTTGGAGTGGTCACAACAAGCCTTGAAATGGATGCAGTACTTCAATGTTTCAGTCAATAGTAGAAAAATGCATGAAGCACTCCTCCAAGTGGTTTTCTAGAACTTCCGGGTTTAGGTCTAATTACATGTTATTGTTACAGAAAGCAACTACTCAGTGATCTAAAGTTAGGCCAAGACAACATACAGACTATGTAAGATAGCCTTTTAATTAATCAGCTAAAGTTAATTTTGATTAATAGAACATGGGAACATATAACAAAATCAGTGCTGAGCCAACAACATACATTAAGGTTCTAATGCCAGGCATTCATCTGAGAAGAAAAGAGAGATATATAGATGAAAAGGAGGACAAGAAGGGGTACATCACCTATTATTGCAATCTGTGTAGATCAAACAGTGATAGTGATTTAAAAAAACAACAGCGTTGATCCATTTTTCTTTTTGTAATATTAATATTTTAATATTAAAAATAATTTTAATATTGTATATTCCTTGGTTTTTCAATAAATATAAAGAAAGTTTAAAAATTATAAAATGCAGAACAAATATTTAAGAATCATTGATTTCCCACTTCCACAGACTATTATATCCAGAAACGGAAGTTTGGGGAGATATGGAAACCTAAATTTGAGACATGGCATGTAAATATCTTGAAGCAGCAGTTGAATCACAGATTAGGATTTCAGAAGAGAAAATGCTAAGATTAAATCTCCCAAAAGATCACTAAAATCTGGAAAGCACATCATTAGTAAGTTATGCTTAAGTTTTATCAATGGCGTCACACGGTTCATGAAAGAAGTCAGGTAATAATAGAAAAGATTTCTTCTGTGATTGCTTTTGTTCATCACAGGTAGTCCTCAACATACAACCGTAATGGAGCCTATTATGGTCGTAAACCGGGTTGGTCACGTGACTGCCAAATTTTACCTTTTTTGTGGCAGTTTTTTAAGGAAACACGCCGGTTGTAAAATGAATGTGGTAGTATTAAGCAAACCTATTGTTTGCTAAAGGGACTGTTTTGCTGAAAAGTAAAAGTAATTTCTGGTTTTTGGCAAAAACTTTGTAAAACATAGTAATATGTGTGACGCTACAGTCAGAAACATTGCTATGTTGGAGTGGGATGCTATCGGTTCTGCTCGGCTCTCTAGAACCAGTAGCTCTGAAGAACAGCAACCCTGGTAATTGGGTTATAACTTCCTTTCTCCAGGTAGGTCAGTATTCTAGGTAGGTCACCTTGAAGGGTCATTAAGTGACTGGCCATAAGTCGAGGACTATCTGTAACAGCATCAATTGTTGCCATTTTAACTTCATGGCTCAAAATGTTTACGCTGCTTTTGATTTCTAATTATTTAAAACTATGTGCTAGAATCTCTTGGTGATAACATATTGCTTGATATAAAATTTAAAAAAAATTAAACACCCAAAGTTAGTAGCGATAGCACTTAAGACTTATATACCGCTTCACTTTACAGCCCTCTCTAAGCGGTTGACAGAATCAGCATTTTGTCCCCCAACAATCTGGGTCCTTATTTTGCCTACCTCGGAAGGATGGAAGGATGAGTCAACCTTGAGCCTGGTGAGATTCGAACTGAATATCAATTCAGAAATAATTATTTACAAATCAACAATTAACCAAGTGTCTGCTTAATGGTATTTGGAAACCTGTGTAGCGTATACTCCAAGTAAAAAAGAAGAGTATCAACAGATGCAGAGCACACCCCCATCTAGAATATTAGAATACTTTAAATCAGTTTTAACACTTATGAAGAACCCCACCTTCTATCCTGGACAATGCTTCTCATACACATGTCTCTGTGGTAACTAACAAACTGTTGGCATGTCATCCGAATCTCTTCCGGGACAGATGATTCCCTCTGTTCCACAGTTCTAGCACCCCAAAGGAATTCAAGCCTACATGAGAAAAAAGCCCATTTGAAATACCGCCTGGAAAAAGCATAATACAAGGACTTGATTTTAAATATTCTCGCCTATGAGATTTTATTGTTATTGTGAACTGGTCATCAACTTGTGATGACCAGGTTTTTAAAGCACAAGTGAGAAGAATTAAAATACAGCTGAAATATTTTTTAAAGCTGGCTATTAAACTGAAAAGAAGATGAATGGTAGCAAATTCTTTTTCCTACATTGATATGCACTTTGATCTAATTCACACACACATATAGATCCTAATTTACTTCTCTATTTCAGAAAAGAACTCTGCCAACTCAAACTTCCATTTCTTACTTCTGTCCAATATTCAACATATTGCCAAGGTTCCCTAACCCTCAAAAGCAGTGGCTGAAAAGGAGGCAAAGAGAAAAAAACTGTATGAGGAGAGAATAAAATCACATTCTATGAATGAAATAACTATTTCATTCATGGAAAAAATAACTAGATTCCAAGGCTATATAATCAGGTAAACATAGACATTTTATAACACCTTTAAAAATATTTTTGGAGAATAACTCATACGCAAGCCTATGTGTCACATTGATACCATGGAATTCAATTAAAGCAATATTATTTAATGCTTCCCCAATCTAGATTGTATTAATATAAATTGATGCTCAACAGAGAAAAATATTGCTTCATGCATGTAATTAAAAGGAGCAGAATTTCAAATTAAACCAGATTACTGTTTTGTAAAAAGGAACAGCATCAGAGTTAAAAGTTCTCAAGGCAGCTGAAATTAAATGGATGCATAAACTGCTAAAATTACCTCCTTTTGAATGGAAGAATAATTAGATGCTTGTCTAAACCAAACATTCCAAAAGAAATGAATCCCTGTAAAAGAAAAAATAAATACTACAATAAAAAGATTCTGGATGAACAATTGTATACAAATTCCTGAAATTAAGTTTTTAATTCTAAAGAAAAAGCAGAATAAAAACCTATTTTATAATGCTTAAATTTATTTAAATAAAATTCAGAATACAACACGGACCAAGTTCAAGAAATGGAAAAATATTTAGAAAACCTCATCAATACCAATACTGTGATTTTTTAAAGTCAGACCGTCAGTCATATTCTTCCCTTTCAATATCTCTACCCTCATATCACAGTTTCCTAAACTGTATGTTTATCTTGGCTAGGGTTATTACAGTTTCTTAATTTTCCATGCTTCCTCTTATAATACATGACTTACAAAAAAAAAGAGTCCTTACTTAAAACAACTGTAACTGGGACTGGTAACTCCATCGTTAAGTCATTAAGACAGACAACATGCAACTGTGATGGACTTACAACCTCACCTCATTAAGCAACCTCACTTCATTAAGCAAATCACCCGTAGTCCTTAAGTGAGACATTACATGACCATGACTTATGATTTGACTACTGGCTTTTTCAACTGACTCTAGTTTTTTGGAAGCTTGAAAGCGCAATATGGATGATCGTGTGACTGTAGGACACTGTAATAGTTTCAAGTGTGAGGTCCGGTCACAAAGGGCTTTTCTCAGCAACTTTGGATGGATGCTAAACAGGGCAGTTGTTAAGGGAGGAATATCTGTATTGTTGGAAGGAGAATTAAAAAATGTAAGAAAACTAAGGTCTATGAATCAACTGTAATGAACAATGTATTTTGAAAAGCAAAAGGATAAGCAATTTGGCAAGCATGTTAGCATTAAAAAAAAACATCTCAAGAGAAGAAGGTAATGCAATTTTAAACATTGAATCTCTCAGAAAGCATTTTATTTTCATAGGAAAGACTAAAGGTAAGATTAAGGAACAAGCCTTGTGGGCTCTTCCCATGCTGCCATATTGTCAGAAAGCAGATTTGCCTTTGTGGTTGGAGTTTTTTCTTATTGAATTACCTTTTCAGTGCAATTTTAACAGTACCTGAGAATGACCTTGGGGCATAAGGGAAAGAGAGGGGCCAGGGAAACAATAAGATGAAAGGGAGGAGCTGCCAGTGGCTTAATAGTCAGAAGATAAAACTTAGGGAGGACCTGCCGTAATTGATTGGGTGATTATAAAAGTGGTGGCAGGAGATCTGTTCATTTAGATTTGAAAGATTCTATTAATGTAGCCTTGCAATAATGTATAACTAACTCATCCAGTTATGTTTCCTGTCTGGTTTACCTGGGAAGGCCAAAAGTAATTTAATTAGCACAAAACTATTATTTCAGCTCCTGGTTAAACTTCACTCAGGCATTTTAGTAGGATGTCACTAAACATATTAGGGAGAGCACCAGCTGAAATCTTCCATTTTTACCATCTGGATCAGCTAAATCTGTATTGTCCTGGAAAACATTTTCTCTGGATGGCCTCTATTAATGAAACATCCGTAACTACTGACATGGATTATTTTCCCTTTAAACAGGTGGAACAGCAAAATTTGTCAGTACACAATGAGCAGTTTTAATTTTATCAAATTTAAGGTAAGAAAATGGGGCAAAAATAAGCCGGGCAAACTTCCTTACAAACATATGCCAAACTTCATGTATGCATTTACATATGGGTTCAATGAGACGTGCTATTAAATACATATGGACAAGTTCACATTATTAGTTTGAGACAGAGGATAAATATTTACCTGACCAAAATTAAATACAGCACAGAAGAACTGCAGTTCCACATAGAGTCTCCCAGGCTCTTGGTTAAATAACCACCACAAGCAGCTTGATAGGTTCTGTAAAGGAAAAACCAAATGAACATGTGAGTATCTCATTGCTACAACTTTCACTGACATTCCCCTTGGATTATAGAGACCATTTTCCCCACCACCGCAACTCTTCAAGTTTAGTGCGTTGCCCCTCTAGACTACTATTACTAAAATCAAGAATTTACTGCAGGTCTGAACAACCTTTCTGGAGGACTAACAAGACCATGACAATAATTCAGTGATAATGCCAGTAGGTAACAGTGGAACTCTTGGTTTTTCTTCCTCTTTTCCATTTCTGGGATTTTCTGTGAATGTTTTGAAACATAATTCTTATACATTTTCTTTCTTTGTAAGAAAAGAAAGCAGAAAAGCACACCACTGCAGTTGGTCAGTTGCTGCCAGTAATCAATCTTCTAAAATGACACACATTTTGGGAATTACCCACCCTTTGTTTAGGGAGATAGTGTGAAATGGCTTTGCCAACATACCTGTAGCAAAAGATGGAAGTGAAATGATTACAGGTGCGATTGTCTACTGAATCACCGGTTCTTAAGTCATAGGAAGCTTCCTTACACCATTAAACAATTGACCTAGTATCTAATTCAACATTGCCTAGATGAAGGGTGAGGAACCTTTTGCCTTTCAGATGTTGTCAAAATGTAATTTCCAACATCTCTCTCCACTGGTATGTTGGCTGCGACCATCAGAAGTGGAGCTCAATATTGGGAGAGCTACTTATGATCTATCTCTGGTCCACATAAAAACACTTTTGAAACAGGCCCTTCTAACCTCTACCAAGAAATGCAAGATAAAAACCTGAGATCTTCTGTGGGCGTAGATAGGTACATTAAATTACCTCCATTGCCTTGTGTAGCATCAGGCCATTGTGTCAATAGATGGCAATAGGCTCTTAAAATAGATGGCAGCTCTAACAATTGTTCCGTTTCTGGATTGAGGACCCCCATTCATGGTCACTCATGCCCTGGTCGCCTCCCTTATTGGACTAATGCAATGTGCTCTACATGAGGCTGCCCTTGAAGAGAATCCAGAAACTTCAGCTGGTACAAAATGCAGCAGCATGAGCTGTTATGTCTGCTTTTGATAGCATTCATGTTACACCTCTGCTGTGTTGCTTCAATTCAAGGTATTGATGTTGATCTTTAAAGCCCTGCATGGCATGGGATCAATTATTTGAGGAATCATCTCTTCTGAATTTCATTTGCCTGTCCCACCAGATCCAACAGAATGGGTATGCTACGGTTTTGTTATCTAAGGCAGGGGTCGCCAACCTTTTGGACCTCAGGGACCACCAAACTCATAATTTTAAATCCCAGGGACCACTAACCGGTTCTGTGGGCGTGGCCTAATTTATGGGTGTGGCTTGGTGGTCATGTGATTGGCTGGGCATGGCTTATATGTAAATATTATAAATATTTATATAAATATTGAATTTTTTTATAAAAAAAGAGCAACTTTTACCCAAAATCAGGCAAAGCAGGCAGGCAGATTGAGTTGCTCACAGAATCACAGATTCATTCAGAGATCTATCTATCTGCCATCGGCTAGCTCAGTCTGTCACATAAAATTTGCTTGCAAGCAAACTCACAAAATTAACTCACAACACACCATGTATGGAAATATTGAATTTTTTTATAAAAAAAAGAGCAACTTTTACCCAAAATCAGGCAAAGCAGGCAGGCAGGTTGAGTTGCTCACAGAATCATTCAGTGATCTATCTATCTGCCATCGGCTAGCTCAATCTGTCACATAAAATTTGCTTGCCGTGAGTCTGCACTGAATAATAAAACCTTCAGTCCTAAGGGAGGTTTGGCTGTGCTTAAAAGCAGAGCCGAAGATCTAAAGACTAGCTAGAAAGCAAGAAATCCAACCATTTCCTGCTTTCTAGCTAATCTAAATCTCCCAGAACAGCAGAACAGCTGATGGTTGGGGGGAAAAAGGAAAAATAGCAATTTAGCAGGCAAGTTTGCCACGTAAGGAGTGGGTGGGCGGGGGAGGGTTCCCGTGGGCCATGTGGGCGGCGCAGCCTTGTGTTTCTGAGCAGCCTGGATTGTTTTGTGGGGGTGCTCTGGGGATGAGATTACTCTGCGGACCACCAAAAAATTTTCGCGGACCACCAGTGGGCTGTGCCCCACCGGTTAGTGACCGCTGATCTAAGGAACTACATTTGGCGGGCTCTAGGCTATGGCACCTGCATTGTGGAAACTTTTCCCCCTCTCCCCCTCCAAGGTCAGCCTCATTACTCCTGATCTTTGGGAGATCCCTCAAGACCTGGTTCTGTCAGCAGGCTTGGTGACTTCAGGGGATGGATAAACTTGTGAGGGGGCTCCGTTATTATTAATATCCCTCCATTTATTACTTTCTTCTCCTGTTTTAGTCCTATTTTTGCAGTTTTAATACTGTGTAATTATTATTACGTAACACTTTTAGGCAATGATTTCTTTATACATTCACGTTTTGATTGGATTGTGTACCAGAGTCACCTTCTGTGAGATGAGCAACCGTATAATGAGCCTGGATTTAACTTCTTTAAAAATAACATTATGCTAGTAGCTGGTATGAGAAACACACTTTGTAACGGAGGGTAGGGTAAAATGACCATATATCAAAAATCGTATGTTTCTGCCTCCCACCAAAGAAATTCTTACAGCAAAAAGGCCCACAATGAGAAGCAGGCACAACAGCACATGTCTGGCCAGCTGTTGGTCTCCAGTTTGCAGCAGCTGTTCTTCCTGAGCCAGGACACACCTCTGAGAACTGCATGGACTCAAACACCGGTTTGCTGAAAAACATTTAAGTGTTAACACATAAGGCATAAGCACAACACTGAATCCTGTTCTCTTAATAGAAATCATAAGAGAAACAAGAAAATGAAAATACAATCAATTGCTCTAAGTAAACAGATACAGGTCTTGTTCATATACGAATGAAAGCAAATATACGTGTCCCAGGATAATGTTGCTGGATCCAATCTGGGTCGGTCACCAGAACCTCCCCTGAAGATGAGCTCCAGCAGGAGTCCAAGAGCTCAGAAAACAAAAACTCTGGTTCCGGTGACTGACCCAGATTGGATCCTTGTTCATACAAGCCAAAATGTTTGATTAAGAATTAGCATGCTTTATCTGTAAACCATAAATTGTGATAGGAATAGGCAACCTGCTCTGGTGCCCATCTGCAGTCTCCCAATAGGGCAACCCCAAACTTTATCACTGATATTCCATTGCTCACTTTGAGTTGATCATTTCAAAAAAGAGGAAATTGAATGTTGATACAAACAAGAGTTGGTTCTTTTTGTGTCAGAGGAAAAAAAAAAACTTTTTCTGAAAGACTGGAAATTTCATACTACATGGACTTTTGTTAAAAGAAGATTGAATTGATGATTTTGGGATTCAGGGATTAAAAATGGATGAAGAGGATCGGGGAAAGATTAAGATATTTACTTGATAAAAAAAGGTGAAAGGCATAATTGTCTGTTTTTCTTTCCTTTTTTCCCCTCTTTACCTTGCTTTCTAACTTTTTTGTTGTTTTGTATACTTTTAGTATATCGAAGACAGACAGACAGACAAGAAAAGGTTCTATTTGCTTGCTACCCAACCCAAATCTCATTAGAATCACCCCTAGAAAAGTATCAAACTGTAAAAGGTTATAGTAGTGACTATCCAGACTTTAATCTACACTTGAACGTGTTATAACAGGATAGAGATCATTTCTGCAAACAAACACCCTGCTTTAGAGTATTAGTAACATCATTTTCAACTTAGTGAGGTCAAGGTTAACAGACTAGCCTTTTTTCCCCTACTTCTTGCTTCTACCAAATTGTAGTAGAATAAAATATGGTAGGAATCAGAGTTCATGATTGTCCCAAAGGTGATTTTTCAAGAGTCTCAACTGGACTTTTTGGTTTTTCTTTGAAGACGTTTTGCTTCTCATCCAAGAAGCTTCTCCAGAGCTGAAGAAACTTCTTGGATGCGAAGCGAAACATCTTCAAAGAAAAAACAGAAAGTCCAGTTGACTCTTGAAAAAGCACCTTTGGGACAACCATGGCCTGGATGACTGAGAATCTCCACAGACAAAGTTCATGATGTTACAGACTATTTTAAGTTAGTGACATTTATCACTAGATGGCAGCAAAAAGCTAATAAATACTGCACCTTTTGCTGCCAAAGCAATTCTTATTCTCCAGTTCAGAAGCCTCAAGGCTTGCTACTACAGCGCAGAATGGCTTCCTAATTTTATCTTCTTTTCCAAACTAGTTATCAATCCCATCTATCTCTAGCCAATTATTACATTACAGAACTTGCTTCCCTAAGAGTCAAAATAAGTGACACTGTAAACCGCTTAGGGAGAGCTGTAAAGCACTGTTGAAGTGATATATAAGTCTAAGTGCTATTGCTATAGCGTAACATCTATTTTTAAAATAATCTATTATTATTAATCAGCAAATCTATACATCATTATTTCGTTGTTTTCTGTTTCATGTCAAAATGTTCAATAGGAGCTTCCAATTGGCATTAAAGTGGCTCAAATGTCTTTTCTTTAGTCATTTTCACCACCTCAGCCAATTCCATCAACTATATCGACCATTCTTCCATTATAAGTATGAACGAATTTTCCCACTATTGAGCATATAGGATTGTGGTTATCATATATAAAAACAGATCACCATGTGGATTTTCCAAATTTTTATCCAACAACCCCAAGAGATATTTTTTTTTATTTTGTTGCATTTCTTCCCTCTCTCTTTACTCCTCTTTCTCTTCTTTTCTGTTCTGTTTCTTGATTAAGATTTTTTGTTAAGTTTTTATTTTTCTACTTTTGAACTTGGTAAAGTATCAAAGAAGAAAAATAAATAAATCTAAGCCTCCAGAGCCAGGATGAAGTACAAGATCTTCTCTCTGCCTCTGCTATTCAAAAGGGTGGGATAAACAGCTCTTTTCCCACCCCGTCGGGCACATTTGCTATCTAAATTAGTTCTTTGTTGCAACAATGTGAAATCTGTCTCCCCATATATCTATGAAATATTTACTTTACTGGCCCCAATGTATTCTCGCATGTGTTCTTTAAAGGAGGTAAATATATTACATTAAGAAGGTGCATTTTCCTGTTTATATTTTTTTGTTGTTGGAGGTTTTATCTGACTGATACTTCTGGTATTCTTGTAACTTTCAAGATATTTCAAAGCAGTATGAAAATGCTAGGAGGGAACACATGTGCTGAAAAAACAAATAAGGTTACCAAACTGAAACAAAGCCCTTTTGAATGTGAATATAAAGACAGCCATATACAGGTAGCAGGTGTGTCCCTTAATTTCGCTCTAAATGTCAACTTATTATGCAATAATATTAAAAATGGTGTTTACATAGGATCTAGAATCTTACTCAAGCAATATTCCTGTTCCTTGGTGATTTAAGAAATTAAGGAGGAATGGATTATGAAGGTGATAGAATTTACCAAAATGTCAAAATTAACTTGTTTGATCAGGGATAAAACAATAAGTACTCTCATAAAAAACTGGAAACCACTTTTCCGGGGGGGATCCGGACAGGGGTTTGGGGTTTTCGCAGACCCCCTCCCCACCCGGCATAACCCCCTTTTCTCAGGGTGGTGGAGCGGCGGTCAGTAATGGCTGCCACAAAGAAGCCGGCAGCTGGACAAGATTGTGCTGGAGGAAGAAGGAGAAAGTTTTGAAGCGAAAGTTTTTTGGCTGAACTGGGACTATAAGATGCATTTAATATCCTGAAAATCTTGATTTTTTGAAAGATACTTTGTTTCCAGAAGAGATCTATAAGCGGTGAGTGAAAGTGCTGAAAGAGAAAGTTTACTCTCCTTCCCTATGGAATTAACAAATGGATATTGAAAAGCCTGCTATTTTATAGAAGGTAAAAATTTAAAGCTTTTTGTTACAAGTGGGAAGGGAGAGGACAAAAGAAAAATTTATATTAAGATTTTGTTGGAGGAGATGCCTGGAAGATTTTGAGATTGGAAGTTAATCGCAATAAGACTTTAAAATACAGATTGGGGTTTTTTTTCCCCTTTCTAATTGATATTACCCCAGGAAGAAAAAGTGTGAAGGGAAGAACTTTGTGCTCTGTTTGGATTGTTTGATGACTTTGGGATTTTGGGGAATTGTTCTAAGCTTTGAATTATCTTGGTTGTTCTAAGAAGAAGAAGGAAAAAAAAGAAGAAGAAACGGTTTATAATGGCTTTATCTGTTGATGAACTGAGAGAGGAATATGGTAAAAGAAAGAAAGAAGGCAAAGACGCTGTGAGAGAAATTTTTCGCTTTTTAGAAATGGCGCTTGCTACTTATCAGCAAACACAACAATTGGAGGAGGAGGAGGAGGAGGAGGAGGAGGAGGAGGAGGAGGAGGAGGAGGAAGAGGAAGAAGAAGAGGAAGAAGAAGAAGAAGAAGAAGAAGAAGAAGAAGAAGAAGAAGAAGAAGAAGAAGAAGAAGAAGAAGAAGAAGAAGAAGAAGAAGAAGAAGAAGAAGAAGAAGAAGAAGAAATCTTTAACGAATCTACAAAGTTGATTAAGAAAGGAAGGAGAAAGAGAGGAAGGAAAAGGGACATAAGACTTAAAAAAAACATCCAAGAAAGAGAAAAATAAGATGCAAAATCAATACAATGTTGGAAAGCAAAAGAAAAGAGAAATACAACAGAGAGGGGAAGCTAAGGGGGGTAAAAAGACCAGATGGGATAAGATAGAGGAAGGAAGAAGGGGGAAAAAAGCCACAAAGGTATGAAACAAGATGTGAAAAAGAAATTTTTTTTTAGGGATAAAGGGTAATGTATAATTTTGTTTTAAAAG